TATAATCTTGTTCCGTTCCAGGTGTTCCACCACTCTCCTCCTGATAATTTTCTCCATGACTTTGCACACAATACATGTCAGAGACATAGGTCTGTAGTTTAGTGCCTCATTTCTGTTTCCTTTCTTAAATATGGGAACTACATTTGCTGTCTTCCATTTCTCAGGTAGTTGCCCAGTTTCAAGGGATGTGTTGAAGATTGTGGTTAGAGGCACGCACAGCATCTCTGCTCCTTCTCTAAGGACCCAGGGAGGATGTTGTCTGGTCTCATCGCCTTTGAGGTATCAAGGTCACTTAGCAGCTTATGCACCTCCTCCTCGGTTGTTCGTATGTCATCCAACACTTGTTGGTATATTCCCTCTTGATGTTCCCTTCTGTGCTGTCTTCCCAGAGCCCTGTCTCTACTGTAAAAACTTCCTTAAATCTCCTGTTTAGCTCCTCACATACCTCCTGATCATTTCTTGTGAGTTCTCCACCTTCTGTCCTCAGTCTGATCACCTGGTCTTTGACTGTTGTCTTCCTCCTGATGTGGCTACACAACAGTTTCGGGTCAGTCTTGAGTTTCGATGCTATGTTATTTTCATACTGTCGCTGGGCCTCCCTCCTTACCTGTGCATACTCGTTCCTGGCTCTGCGGTTAATCTCCCTATTTTCATGTGTTCTCTGCCTTCTTTACTTTTTCCATTCTCTATTGCACTTTGTTTTTGCCTCCTTACACCGTCGGGTAAACCAGGGGCTCGTTCTGGTCTTCCCATTGTTTCTGTTGCCCTTGGGAATAAACCTTTCCACTGCCTCCTTGCATTTTGTTGTTACATATTCCATCATTTCATTTACTGGATTTCCTGCCAGTTCTCTGTCCCATGGAACCTCCTGCAGGAAGTTCCTCAACCCTATGTAGTCCCCTCTTTCATAGTGTGGCTTTTCCCATTCAACTCCTGTTACTCTCTCAACTTGCAACTCTATTATGTATTCAAAGCACAGAACCACGTGGTCACTAGCTCCTAGGGGACTCTCATATGTGATGTCCTCAATGTCCGAACTGCCCAGGGTGAACACAAGGTCCAATCTTGCTGGTTCATCCTCCCCTCTAACTCTGGTAGTGTCCTTAACATGTTGGTGCATGAGGTTTTCCAGTACCACATCCAACATCTTGGCTCTCCATGTTTCGGGACCCCCATGTGGCTCCAGGTTTTCCCAGTCAATCTCCCTGTGGTTGAAATCCCCCATAACCAGCAACTTTGCCACCTCAGCAAGCGTGTCCACCATTGCTCTGTTGCTCTCTTCATATTTCTTTCTTGGCCTCCTGCAGTTCTGTGGTGGATTATACATCACTGCGATGACCACCTTGTGCTCCCCAGACTGAAGTGTACCTACTATGTAGTCCCTTTCTCCTGTCTCGTCTATGCCTCCCATTTTCTCGAATTTCCATCGTTTTTTTACAAGCAGAGCAACCCCTCCTCCCCCTCTACCCCTTCTATCTTTCCTCATGAACTGGTATCCTGGTGGGAAGATTGCATCTGTTATTGTCTCCGTGAGTTTAGTTTCTGTAACTGCTATGATGTCTTGGGACTTCTCATTGATTCTTTCTTGCCATTCCTCATATTTATTAGTTAATCCATCCGTATTTGTGTACCAAACCTTCAACTTCTGTTCTAATACTGTAACTGTGGTCCTGGGGGAACACTGGGGTTGGGAGAGCAGGAGCCCTGGTGGGGGCCTGTGGGGGGTTGCAGTGGAGGAAGAGCTCCCATAGGGGGTTGCTGTAGGGGTAGGGTTCGTGGTGCGGGGGATGGGAACAGAGGGATCAGTGTGTGATGGTTGGTTTGGATTGTTCAGTTGCCTTGGGGGTGTCGTGGCTGGAGTACTTCTGCAGGTGTTTCTGGGGGGGGTGTGCTTGTCCTTCTACCTGTTCCTGGGTTATTCTGCTCTCCTTTTTCATTTCCTCCCATTCCTCCTTTCATTTTTGCACTCTCTCTTTCAGTATCATCCTTTCCTCCTGTGTTCTGTCTCGATCGAGGTACACACTCATGAACTCCTGTTTGCCTCTCAGCTGTGCTTTCTCCTGCAGGATCATGGTTTGAGTTATTCTGCCTTGAAAATTACTTTGAGAGGCCGATTCCTTTTCTTTGTGACCCACCCGATTCTCCGAAAATTTGCCACCTGGGTCATGTCTTCCTCGCCTATCACCTTCATGATACCTTCAATCGCTTTTTTCTCCGCGCTTGCGTGTGCATGTGCGTGTGTGTGTGTGTGTGTGTGTAAGGGGGGAGTTGAGTGCAAGCAGGTGTGTGTTGGTGTGACTATGGTGTAGGTGTGTGGAGGCAGGTGTGGGTAGACGAGAGGGGAGGGGGTTAGAGGCAAGTGTGTAGCAATGTGGGTGGATACTATGTGTGGGCCTGAGTGAAAGGTGTAGGTATGTGGCTGTAGGGTAGTGGAGGAAAACATATGACAGTGTGGGGGTACTGCTTGAGTACAGAGGTTGCAGTGTTGCAAGGGTAAAAAGTTGAACTTGTAGGAGTCAAATAGTACCTGAGTAGTGGGAGGCAATCAGGTTCAATCCAAGGAAGGTGAGACAAGGTCCAATTCCATAGAACTAAACTCTCTAAAGGACAAAGGAACCTCCCATGAGATGGAAAGGGGGTGAAAATGGTTACATAACTACAATTTTTTACAATAACATCTGACAAGCACTTTGTATGTTAATGGATAATGGATAATGCTCCTGCTGATCCTCCAGACTTGGAAGACCAATTGTTGGAGGAGTTTAATTTCATCACAGTGAAATTCCTGCCCCCAAATACCACTTCTCTCATTCAGCCCATTAACCCTTTGACTGTCACGGCTGTATATATACGTCTTACAAGGTACCGTGTTTGACGTATATATACTCATAAATTCTAGCGGCTTCAAATCAAGCAGGAGAAAGCTGGTAGGCCCACATGTGAGAGAATGGGTCTGTGTGGTCAGTGTGCACCATATAAAAAAAAAATCCTGGAGCACGCAGTGCATAATGAGAAAAAAAAAACTCCGACCATTTTTTTTAATTAAAATGCCAACTTTGTGGTCTATTTTCGTATAGTATTTATTGTTGTATTCTCATTTTCTTGGTCTCATTTGATAGAATGGAAAACATATTATAGAAATAGAGGTGAATTTGATTGATTTTACTATAAAAAGAACCTGGAAATGGAGCTCAAAGTAGGGGAAATGTTTGATTTTTGCCAATGTTCAAAAGTAAACAAATGATGTCATTGTCCAATAAATGTCCAACTAGCCATTCTAATATGCAGTCATGAATGGGTTGATGTTATTTATACAATTATTACAGTATTGCAGTAGTCTGCATAATAGTAAGTCTTCTTATTTTTTGTTTGAATAAAAATTCAAAATAGAAAGCAAGAGTAATATCAGAGGGGCCTGGAGACATGACTGATGAACAAAGAAAATGTTATTTTAGGGCCAGGAATGTCTGCATTGTTCATTCTGGACCTTATTTTGAAATTGTCATATTTTTTAATTTTCGTGAAATTGGCCAAATTGCAAATTTCTGACCACATTATTGGGTAGTTGAAATCAGTAAATGGGCAATTTCTTGTACTCAATCGATAGAAAAAATGGAGTTCTAAAGAAATAGCTATGAGTTTGGTCGACTGGAACAATGGAATTAGCCGAAAATAGGGCTCAAAGTGAGCGAAATCGCCGATTTGTAAATATCGCCGCGGTCGCTAACTTCGTGAGAGCATAATTCCGTCAGTTTTCCATCAAATTTCGTTTTTTTGGTGTCATTACAATCGGGAAAAGATTCTCTATCATTTCATAAGAAAAAATAATTTTTTTTTTTTTTTGAAATTTTGCGACACCAGGAGACACCTCAGGATTGGGGTTGCGACAGTCAAAGGGTTAACCAGCAGATCATTTCAAACTTCAAAAAACTCTACACCAAAGCAATGTTTCAAAGGTGCTTTGACGTGACCTCGGACACTGAATTGACCCTAAGAGTTCTGGAGGGATCACTTCAATATCTTCAATTATATCTTCAATTATAGATAAGGCTTGGCAGGGAGTGACTTCCAGGATGATGAACTCTGCATGGAGAAAATTGTGGCCAGAATGTGTCCAAGATTTTGAAGGGTTAGGGGGTGACCCTGTCGACCCTACGCCTGCTGTGGAATGTATTGTGGCATTGGGGAATTCCATGAGGTTGGAGCGAGTGGCCAGGATGTGGAAGAGTTGGTGCAGGACCAGTGAAGAGTTAACCACAGAAGAGCTACAAGAGCTTCATCTGCAACAGCAACAGATCAAAACTGAGGAAATTGCTGCAGAGGAGGAACAGAGAGGTAAGAATGTGCAATCTTCAAAGATTAAGGACATTTGTGCAAAGTGGAGCGAGGTGCAAACATTTGTGGAGGAACATCACCCTAACAAAGCTGTTGTAGACCGTGTCTGCAACACGTTCAATGACAATGCTATGTCCCATTTTAGGGAAATCTTAGAGAGATGCCAGAAACAGACCTCTCTGGAATAATTTTTTATGTGACAGGGGTCCAGTGACTCAAGCTGGTCCAAGTGCTATTCAAACACAAAGAAGGGAAGTAACCCCGGATAAGGACTTGTTACCTGAAGTCCTTATGGAAGGGGATTCCCCTTCCAAACAATAACCTCTCTTCTCTCTTTCCTCTCCCCTCCTCCCTGTCTTCCATACACCAACAAGAGTCTTCAATAAAGGCAAGTTTCATGTTAAATGTTCATTTATACATGTTATCAGTGGTTTATATTTATTTGCCATTCTTTTCTGTAAGTAAATCTATATTTAATCTATAAAAAATTATTTGTTGTTAATACTTTTGGGTGGCTGGAACGGATTAATTGGATTTACATTTCTTATGGGGAAAATGGTTTCAGTTTTTGTGAATTTCACATTTCGTCAGACTCTCTGGAACAGATTAATCACAAAAAGGGAGGGTCCCCTGTACTTAATACTGATAACATGAAGATAAATTACCTGTAAACAGCAGGGAAAACAACAAGAGGCACAAGCCAGAGGACGGTTCAAATGGATCACTTCATTCTGTGCATTATCCATGATCTTCATGTCAAATGGTCGCATGGGGCCACAACATTGCCGAGTGCAGCAATCTGTGTCTTCAGCAGCAAAGTACACTTGCTGGCCAAGGGAATTCTGTACCTTGTACTTATTGCAAGTCTCAAATCCAGTAAAGGCTGAAAAAAAATACAACAGTTTTAGTATGTGAAAGTTGGAGAGAAATACATATAAGGGACAGGATATAATTATAACATTGGGAAGCATTAAATCAGAAGAATCATTCAATGACTGGGAAACTATGCACAGTATTCAAGGTCAATTCAAGAGGACAGTATCTCCAAATCCTTGGACCAAGAGCTCTTCACAAGCATCAAGGTTCCCCCTTACCTTAAAAGAACAGGATATAGAAGTAAATACAGTATAGCGATGTACTATGTATAACACTATAAATATCAATATTTATACTTGCATAATAATGCATGCAATATATTGAAGTAATTCTAAAACTTAAATACTATTTAATTTGGCCAAAGAACAAGAGTGGCTCCATAAGTTTTATAAAGGAGGGACTTAGTGGCAGTCTGGTTAGAAGAGGGGCTATGGGACTTGCTTAAAACACTATTTTTATTTTGGGGGTTTGGTAGGGGAGGATGATATTTTTGTCTTTCCTTGGTGTTGCCCCTGATGAGTCACAGAACCCAAGTACAAGGTGACAAAATAGACAGGAATATAAAATTTTTTCTAATGAATACATTGGCATATAATAATTTAGAGCATCCACAGGTGGGTTCAACTTTGTCAATGTTTACAATTTTGAGATGGTGTGGTACAGTCCAGGAAGTTGAAGTCAAGTAATACGTTGACAAGTGCTGGGACAAAATACGTACCTATAGCAAAAGCAGACCTTTTATTAGAAAGGTCATTTTGCCTAAAAGTCATAGGTGAAACTAAGAAAAGGTCTGTTTTTGTAATACACATTTTTTTTCCTACCAGTCATAGGTACCACCAGCTGACAAACTGTTACCCAGCCCTAAAGTACTGGCATGTACAAAGTACTGTCTAAGCTTGCGCATCCTTTCGAGTGTAGGCAGAGATTTTTCATCATGTAATTATATAATGGTACTTGGGACCTGACGATCTGTTGGAGTGTGAGCAGGGTAATATTTAGTGAAGGGATTCAGGGAAACCAGTTATTTTCATATAGTCGGACTTGAGTCCTGGAAATGGGAAGTACAATGCCTGCACTTTAAAGGAGGGGTTTGGGATATTGGCAGTTTGGAGGGATATGTTGTGTATCTTTATACGTATATGCTTCTAAACTGTTGTATTATGAGCACCTCTGCAAAAACAGTGATTATGTGTGAGTGTGGTGAAAGTGTTGAATGATGATGAAAGCATTTTCTTTTTGGGGATTTTCTTTCTTTTTTGGGTCACCCTGCCTCGGTGGGAGACGGCCAACTTGTTGAAAAAAAAAAAAAAAAATTATATAAACCATAAGTATCACACAACTTATCAGTACAAGTTTGCAGTAATGTCCAATGTGACAAACCATGCAAGTCAACGGACCTTTGTCACTTGGCTGCAAAACCTCAATAGCCCACCCATCAAAGATTTAAAAGAGAAAAAAGAGAACCTGCTATGATTAAATTATTACCTATCTTTTAATACTTGCCTTCCAGGAGCTCTACTTTCTGTTTAATGAGCAACTGGTCCACCATCGTGAGATACTCTAGTCCTGGAGGGCAGTTACTGACAACTGGTGCAGGCATCCATCCTCCTGAGGGGTAACAAGCAGCTATGAATTGTGTTGGTACAAAATCACATGAAAAGTATTTCTCAAGCTGATTATTTTTTTATTAAGAAATTCAATTTTATATTTGCATTACTTAGAATCTAAAACAAAAGGATCAATGAATAACTGTCTTCTTGACAAATTTAAGATCACTACCAAAAAGGCTGGGGGTGGGGGTGGGTGGGGGGGTTGGGGGTGGTTGGGGGTGGTTGGGGGTGGTTGGGGGTTGGTTGGGTGTGTGTGTGTGTGTGTGTGTGTGTGTGTGTGTGTGTGTGTGTGTGTGTGTGGTGTGTGTGTGTGTGTGTGTGTGTGTGTGTGTGTACTCACCTAGTTGTACTTGCCTAGTTGAGGTTGCAGGGTCGAGTCCAAGCTCCTGGCCCCGCCTCTTCACTGGTCGCTACTAGGTCATTCTCCCTGAGTGTGAGTGTGTGTGAGTGTGAGTGTGAGTGTGAGTGAGAGTGAGAGTGAGAGTGAGATGAGGTGTGAGTGTGTGAGTGTGTGAGTGTGTGTGTGTGTGTGTGTGTGTGTGTGTGTGTGTGTGTGTGTGTGTGTGTGTGTGTGTGTGTGTGTGTGTGTGTGTGTGTGTGTGTGTGTGTTCAAACCTGAACTTTCAAAGACACCCCCACACTAGGTACACAGTCATACTGTACAGCATTAACTTATATATTTTAAAGATAATGCAATTTTAATTTATCAGGAAAACAAGCAGGCTTTAGATACAATGTAGTATTATAGATCACTTAAAAATTGCCCAGCAAATGCTCCAAAGATAATATGATCAACAACTACAGTAACATTATGCTTCAGATTGAAAAAACTCTGTAGGTGCAGCACTCTTAAAGCCCAGAAACCAAGGCATTAAAGAAACTTATACTGTATGACTTACTTGTGACATTTACAAAAATTTTAGCACTGCAAGTAGTATACACAAACTACACAAAACTGGTAGGAATACATAAAGGTGAAATTCTTCTACACAAGCTATTTACATCAGTGCTACTGAAGGTTTATACCCACTTGGTTGGGAAGAAGCTCTTAATGTTAATGTAACACATTTAAACCACCACAGCAACTGTGAACTTTTTGTAGGGATAAATGCAGCAACAGGAATATAATGTATTAAAAATGAACTTAAAAGATGCAAATATTTAATAAGTTAATATCTACATGTTAGGAATATGCAAATAATTTAAAACTCCACAAAATAAGAGGCAAATGTATATTTACACATGTTAATGTAGCCAAACAAAAGCAATCAAGCGAGCTCAAAGAAATACAGTTAATTTTGTGTAGTTATGATTTAATGTTGCATATTTACACTCTTGTTTACATTTCTCTTGACTGTGAAAGGCACCATGTACTATCTGTAAGTGTTTGTGCTTAAAATTAGATAATTTTTTATAACAGACGTGTGAACATTTTATGGCAGTAAATGATAAAATATACATACTAGTGTATCTACATATATTTTATGTATTCATAACATGCCTAATTTTTTCTTAAATTTTTCAATATTTCTAGGTTACACTGTTCGTCTGCGAGTGTTTTCAAATTGTTGCAAGTCTCCCCCAAAAATTTTCAATATATTTATTGAAAAAAATCCGCATACAAGTGGATCCATGCGGTTCAAAACTATGTTGTTCAAAGGATCAGCTATATTTTATATAGATTTTTTTTTTTTTGGGGGGGGGGGGGGCAGAAGCAAAAGTTGGCATTAAAAAATACCTACTTCATGTGTTCAACTGTAGCATTTTCATGGATCATCTGCATATGTGGGTCTTCAAGAAAGTACTCCAAAAGAATATGGAGTTTCACTAATATAAAACAATGAGCGACATCGTAGAAACGGCCAACAAGATTCCTTCTAAACAGGAGCTGGTATACATAATAGCAAAATTTCTAGACAAATCACAGGAACATATGGTAGGTAATGTACAGTTGTACAATAACAAGGTACAGTAGGGCCCTGCTTTACAGCATTTCGCCGTACGGCATTCCATTAATATGACTATTTCAAATTATGACCAAAACTCTATATGGTGAGCGGTCTTTCTAATACAGCACTCACCACCCGGTTTGTTTACTCTCCATGATCACATCTCTCTATGTCTGGAAACTTACCAAAATTTCAAGTGTTTTAAAGTTATTGCATGTTTTATATGTATACTCTGATAATCCTTATGTGTACCTGTACCTAAATATACTTACACACTGTGCTGGCATGCAAGTACACATTAAATCACTAAAGAGTGTCCTAGTTTTAATGCCATAATACTAATAGTATGTAATAATAATCACTCTTGGGCACATTAAATGTCTTATTTTACATTAATATAGACATTCATTAATCCATCTATGATATTTTCTTCAAAATTATACAAGAAACACATTACATAGCATATAAACATGCTATGTTTATATGGCAGGCGGAGGGAAAAACATTATGTTTCTCTGGTCCAGCACCAAAGAAAATGTGCATGAATCTGCGTTTGGCCCAGTCACTCTGCTTTTGTTTACAATTCTTGGCATGAATTATTCAGTACTTCTCCCTTCGTTTATGATGGCATCTAAAGGTAGTCATTAGAAACGATTAAATTCAGTGAACAAGGTATGTCGATGGTAATAATATGACTCTGGACTGCAGTGTAGGTATTTTATCTTTCTGGGCTGCTTTAAATATTGTATATTAAGTTACATACATATTTAGCCAGGGCTACCTACATCTGACTTCATAGAAATAAGTACTACTCACCCTCGCCCTACATTAATTAATAAGGCTACAAATATTTTAAAGTAATGAATGTAGTGTATGTATTTTACTTTCTATTGTGTTTTTTAATGCCTAGTTCTATTACTAACTTACTATAAGTTAGCGTAACCTTGTTGTCTGGCACTGATATACATTTATAAATGGAAAAAAATGGCATTCTGCTTTCTGGCGATGTCTGCTTTCTGGCAACAGCCTGGAACCTAACCTGCCATTTAAGTGGGGCCTTACTGCACAAGCCACAATGTGGTTGACTAATAGCAGTAACACTACCTATGGATTTCAGGCAGAAGCAGATAAGGCAAAAAAAAAAAAAGCTTTCAAATATTTCACAAAAACTAATGATTATGAAAATGCCAACCTATTTTTCTACTGACATACTGATAGAAACCTGAATGAAGTAATGGGTAGGATGAAAGTGTTAAAACAGCTGGAACAGAGAAGGTTCAAACTGTAGTTTTGCAGTGGTTGGTATAGTCATATAATATACACATGAAAAGGAAGGTACTTAACTAATGGCAGGAAGCACGAATAGTTCCTTTGTATAGGAGGAAAGTGACAAAAATGAAAAGATGACTCTGTCTGCAAGATTCAAGACAGTTATCACCTTTATCTCACATGCTAAGTCTCCCCTCCACTTTGATACTCCTAAATGGAATACAGAGCATAGTGTAAGTCTGTAATGTAGTTAAAGATTAACTTTGAAGATTAAGCCAATCACAAGAGGAATTCACAAGTTGACATGTGAAAGCTAATATCTCTTTCTTCAATAAAAATGACAAATTGGAACCCCCACAACCCAAAACCATTTCAAACCTGCCACCAAGATTCACCAGTTTTCAAGAAAGTTCAAGCCAATCAGAAGAGATACTCTAGTTATTCCATGGGGACCAGTTTCACAAATGGATTGATAAAATAGGCAGAGTAAGGCTTACGTGGCTCAATAACATTAACATTCCTTTGTGAAAATACACCAGAATTAAGTTTGAAGTTGCTCAAAAGTTCCATTCAAGTTATCGGAGTTGAAGGTTTGAAGCCAATCAGACGAGTCATTCACAAATTATTCCATGAAAACCAATACATTGAAATTTTCCATTTTCAAATAAAATTGGCAAACTGGCACTTACAAAGCACACAATCAATGCAAACTTTTCCTTAAGCAAGACAAACCAGCTGGCCAGAAGAGGAATTCTCCAGTTATAGCATGAAATTAAAAAATATTCCAGTTTCATTAGAGTAAAGGTATGCAACACTGACAAGGCTTTCTCTATTTGGTGGGCCCAGACGACAACTGACCACTTTTTCGACAACTGCATCCATCCAACTCTTCCACCGATTTCACCAAGTTGCAAACCTCATGCTTTTGTATTAGAGTTATAAAGCTCAAATGCTGTATACGTACATACGTACGTGTGTGTGTGTGTGTGTGTGTGTGTGTGTGTACTCACCTAGCTGAGGTTGCAGGGGTCGAGTCCAAGCTCCTGGCCCCGCCTCTTCACTGGTCGCTACTAGGTCACTCTCCCTGAACCATGAGTTTTATCGTACCTCTGCTTAAAGCTATGTATGGATCCTGCCTCCACTACATCGCTTCCCAAACTATTCCACTTCCTGACTACTCTGTGGCTGAAGAAATACTTCCTAACATCCCTTTGATTCATCTGTGTCTTCAGCTTCCAACTGTGTCCCCGTGTTGCTGTGTCCAGTCTCTGGAACATCCTGTCTTTGTCCATCTTGTCAATTCCTCTCAGTATTTTGTAAGTCGTTATCATGTCCCCCTATCTCTCCTGTCCTCCAGTGTCGTCAGGTTGATTTCCCTTAACCTCTCATCATAGGACATACCTCTTAACTCTGGGACTAGTCTTGTTGCAAACCTTTGCACTTTCTCTAGTTTCTTTACATGCTTGGCTAGGTGTGGGTTCCAAACTGGTGCCGCATACTCCAATATGGGCCTAACGTACACAGTGTACAGGGTCATGAACGATTCCTTATTAAGATGTCGGAATGCTGTTCTGAGGTTTGCTAGGCGCCCATATGCTGCAGCAGTTATTTGGTTGATGTGCGCTTCAGGAGATGTGCCTGGTGTTATGTGTGTGTGCACACACGTGTACACAAATGCGCAACACACACACACACATGCACGCACATGCATGCACACGCACACACAGCAATGGATCAGGGAATACCTGTCAGGAAGACAACAGCTAGACATGGTAACTTGGTGATGTGTCAGAGTGGGTACCTGTGACAAGTGGGGTTCCACAGGGGTCAGTCCTAGGACCAGTGTTTCTGGTATTTGTGAATGACATGACAGAAGGAATGAACTCAGAAGCGTTCCTGTTTGCAGGTGATTTGAAGTTGACGAGAAGAATTCAATCGGACGAGGACTAGGCAGAACTACAAAGGGATCTGGTCAGGCTGCAGACCTGGTCCAGAAATTGGCTCATGGAGTTCAACCCCACCAAGAGTAAAGTCATGAAGATTGGGGAAGGGCAAAGAAGACTGCAGACTGAGTACAGTCTAGAGGGCCAGAGACTACAAACCTAATTTAAGGAAAAGGATCTTGGGGTGAGTATAGCATCAGGCACATCTCCTGAGGTGCACATCAACCAAATAACTGCTGCAGCAGATGGGCAACTAGCAAACCTAAGAACATCATTCACATATCTCAATAAGGAATCGTCCATGACCCTGTACACCATGTACATTAGGCCTATATTGGAGTATGCAGCACCAGTTTGGAATCCACACCTAGCCAAGCACGCAAGGAAACTACAGAGAGTGCAAAGGTTTGCAACAAGACTAGTCCCAGAGCTAAGGGGAAAGTCCTACGAGGAGAGGTCAAGGGAAATCGACCTGACAACACTGGAGGACAGGAGAGATAGGGGGATATGATAATGACATATAAAATACCGAGAGGAATTGACAAGGTGGACAGACACACAATGTTCCAGAGATGGGACACAGCAACAAGAGGTCACAGTTGAATGTTGAAGACTCAGATGTTAGGAAGTATTTCTTCAGTCACAGTTGTCAGGAAGTGGAATAGTCTGGGAAGTGATGTAATGGAGGCAGGATCCATATAGAGCTTTAAAAGAGGTATGATAAAGCTCACGGAGCGGGAAGTGACCAAGTAGCGGCCAGTGAAGAGACGGGGCCAGGAGCTGTGACTTGACCCCTGCAACTACAACTAGGCAAGTACACACACATACACACAATCAATTCCAAGTCCATTAACTACCTTAGTAAACTGGTACCTCTATAACCTAACATAAAATGGTATCATTCTTCTGATAAGATACATCAGTCATTAAAGATTTAAGCCATTCAGAAGAGGCATACTGTTATGGTTATTTTCATGGGAAAAAATGCACCATTTTAAACAAAACCGGAATGTACACTCAAACAGCAATCCCTACCTTCTAATTACAATATACATGTACCAGTATTGAAAGTCTGAAGTCAATCAAAAGAGGCTCCATTAAGGCCAAGTCATCAGTTCCATACCCTTTAGACTATGAAGTGGAACACTTAAGGATGAGGGACTGATCACCTCATTTACCTCTCCACTGCTTCTGCTGCCTCCAACATTAAGGCACCTCTATTTTTGACTAAGAAGCCTCCTGAACAAGTAAAAAGTTTCAACAATAAAGATACCCAATTACTGAACTATTAACATAATGACACTATTTTAGCATGTCCAAACATCAAGCCACTTTGAGACAGGTCCAAAGAAACCTAACAGAAAATAGGAATTGTTAATACAAGACCTCAAAAATCACTGAGTTTGTATACACAAATTTCACTAGCTGAATGAGTGCACTTACTAGGTTACAATCTTATCAAATATAGCAAGTGGCCAATGTTCAAAGCAGCTGTCAGCTTTTAAGATTATATTTACACATTACAGTGAGTAGATACTGGATATACATTGCTATTTTAATACAGTACATAAATAACTGTCTTGATAAAGTAAGTAATCTATGCCCAGTGGTATGCAAGACCCTTCATGACTTCTACAACTATTTTTTTCCACTACATCTCACAGGATAGGTAGTAGCAGATCAGGCCACACTTACTTGCCGTAAAATGTGAACACACTACAAATAAAAACTAATATATCAATACTTCAGAATTCTTTTATCAGCATTAAATTTGTATATATATGTATAGATGGTTTTATGAAGAATGAGGTTAACCATAGAACTGATGAAAGAAAAAAAGTGAGTGGTGCATTGAGGCATCTGTGGAGACAAAAAATGTTATTCATGGAGGCAAAGAAGGGAATGTATGAAAGTATAGTGGTACCAACACTCTTATATAGGTGTGAAGCTTGGGTTGCAAATGCTGCAGAGAGGAGGTGGTTGGAGGCAGTGGAGATGTCCTGTGTAAGGGTAATGTGTGGTGTAAATATTATGCAGAGAATTCGGAATGTGGAAATTAGGAAGTGTGGAGTTACTAAAAGTTTTAGTCAGAGGGCTGAAGAGGGGTTGTTAAGGTGGTTTGGTCATTTAGAGAGAATGGATCAAAGTAGAATGACTTGGAGAGCGTATAAATCTGTAGGGGAAGGAAGGCGGGGTAGGGGTCGTCCTCGAAAAGGTTGGAGGGAGGGGGTAAAGGAGGTTTTGTGGGCGAGGGTCTGGACTTCCAGCAAGCATGTGTGAGTGTGTTAGATAGGAGTCAATGGAGACAAATGGTTTTTGGGACCTGACGAGCTGTTGGAGTGTGAGCAAGTAAGTAAGTAATTTTATTCAGGTATACACAAATACAGTTACATAGAATTATCATACGTAGCAGCATATGTGAAGAGAACCTAGGATAACCCAAAAAAGTCAGACAGAGTGACTTATTTCCATTGGGGTCCTTTTACCTTATTATTATAATATAAAGGTTATAATATTTTCTTATTATTCTACAATGAAGATAACATCTTATTATCATACTAAAAAGACTATCTACTACACCAAGGTTATTAAGACTATCTACAATACGAGGGTCATTACTAGGAATAAGGTAAAATTTACACATATGTTAGCTAAAAAATAGAAAATCATTCCCCTCCCTTTCTGTAGCTACATTCATCACACACCTTTTGGCACTCTTCTTGAACTGGTTCATGCTATGACTGGCTTTGACATGTGCAGGCAGTCTGTTCCATTCCTTTATTGCTGTACAATAAAAGGTGTTTGAAGCCTGGCCACTGACTGTGGGTACTACAAAGTTGTGCTCTCTCCCCTTAGTACTATGATTGCTTTGGTTCCCAACCTTGACAAAATTGACAGCAAGATATTCTGGACATTGTTTGTGAGCAATTTTATAAACATGATTTAGCTTCAGTTGTTTTACTCTGTCTTCAACATTCAGCATATCCAACTGCTGTAATTCATCCTGGCCTACATGTTCTCTTGGTCCTAGCCCCAGGATGAATCAAACAGGGTAATATTTTGTGAAGGGATTCGGGGAAACCAGTTAGCTAGACTTGAGTCCTGGAAATGAGAAGGACAATGCCTGCACTTTAACCCGTAAACGGTCCAAACGTATATAAACGTTCTGTACCGTAGTGCCCCAACTTTTTTGAGAAAAAAAAAAAAAAGTTTTTTTTAATAGGAAAAAAGAGCATATGGTACCCAGGCATCCCCAATTATTTTAATATGGCACAAAGTTAGTGCACACACACCCATTCTCTCATGTCTATGCAACTCAGGCTTATCGTAGCAATGTTGAATGTATGACAAATAAAAGGTATATATACGTTTGGGGCACTAGCGGTAAAAACGTATATATACGTTTGGACCATTTACGGGTTAAAGGAGGGGTTTGGGATATTGGCAGTTTGGAATAATATCTTAAACTGTTGTATCTGAGTGCCTCTGCAAAGACAGTGATTATGTATGAGTGAGGTGAAAGTGTTGAATGATGAAAGTATTTTTCTTTATGGGGATTTTCTTTCTTTTTGGGTCACCCTGCTTCGGTGGGAGATGACTGAAGTGTTGAAAAGCAAACAAAATAAATGTATAGAAGTAATAATGTACAATATTAAGCTTTGTGATTTGTAAGGTAAACATTATTACTGGCACACATTTGACTGCCAGTGTGACAAACACACATCCTCTGACTTCACATGCAAACACTATGTATTTAACTTCTAAAATAATCTACCTATTGCAAGAATCTATTTAAGAGCTGGCAATCAGAGATCTTACCAAGGAAACAGCTGCACAGGATATGAATTAAAGTTGAGGGAAATTGTTTATGGTACATTTGCAAGCATCAGAGCTGGATTTAGAAATACGTAGTTTCTCCTAAGGCCAACATGTATACTAATACAAAGCTATATACAGTACACAGAGCTTGTCGATTTGAAATTCAACCTGTGTTTACATTGTTGCCTCCAGACAGTCTGCTCCATGCATCATGCAGGCATGATGAACCAACAATATTGGCCAAAGGTCTAGCAGATCACATCTGAAACTCCACACTTGCCATAAATATTGATCCCTACATTCGACTATTTAATATTGCAAAACTGAACTCGAGTACTAGGATTAAAAATCCCAGGTGAACTTAAAGCAAACAATCAGAGGTCAACTTTCTGATTTGTAGTGCAAGTAATATGTGAATTGAACTGTTCTTAAACATGCTTTTCCCAATAAAGGAGTTAATTAGTGCAGCATATAAGTAAACTGCATGCAATCAGCAAAGAACCCCAACTTACAGACCAGCTGCATTCCTGTGTTTTATTTTTATTTGAAAGCTGTTCAAATAGAAATAATTACTAGTACAAGGAACAATAACCCTTCACACGTTTGTACTGTAGCTTCATGGTTGTGAAAAATTAACTGGTGTCTTATGTGCACTGTTCTTCAGTGCAGATCTGTGTATTATAACCTGGGAAGCTTGCAAGCTGGGGTCCTTCTGTAACACAGCTTAGAGCATGTACTTTATTTAAACTGATTCGGTAATATTCATTACATTCAAATCTACTGTTAGCACAGTCCACCGACTATCTTGCTCACCAGGCTGAGGTTCATCTGGTTGAGGTCCAGGAGTTGGTAATGGTGGGTAAACAGGTCCTCCATAGCCTAAGAATCATGAATTCTTTATATAATTCATGCATAAGAGTGAATTCTTTTAGAAAACTGTCCAAACACTAGGAAATCTTAAAGTATCAAAATGTGGTTAACAGAAGCAGTAAAACGACTTGAGACACCACCTTAAAACTTTTTTACTTGAGCATTCATAAACGTTAAACTGACTTTCATGGTAATTTAACACTGTACAGCATTTTAGATTACTGCTGCATTTTTCAGGCACAAGACTGAAACCACATTCATGGAAAGTAATCATCTAACTTAATATAGGTGCGATGCAATGATATATTTATAGCTAAAATAAATATGCAGCAAGTGCAATTTTTATTTTATTAGACATTATTGAATTTTTGTGCTTGCTGCATGCAAACAATTGCAAATTTGTAAATAAAAGAGCAAAATGGCTCCAATATTCAGAATGAAGCAAAAAGTGCAAAATAGGAAATAAATACACCTTGGATTATGCCTTCCTTCAACTGAAATATTACGCATCATTCTCCCCAGCCACTTATGCAGTGTACATGATCGTACAGTACAGCATTAACTGCAACAATATATTGTACTGTAATTACACTTAATTATATTCAATGAGTGAAAAGTAATATTTTACCCAGTGTTTTAGTCCAAGAAAACTTGGAATTTTAATTTAGTCAAAACTTGTAAAAATGGAATGGCAACTCTTCAGAATAATTTTATAACATTTTTTACCTGTCATTGTTTAACACACATTCAACATGCATGATAAAAAAAAAAGTAGTAGTTTACAAAGTGCTAGCCTGACAAAACTGTTTGATATTATAAGAAAATACATTACATGACAAATTACAATCTAGTGACATGAAAAATTTCACCATTAAACACAAGCTCTAGCACAAATGCACACTACAGTACTGTATTACATTAACTTCATAGACAGCACAAAGACAAATATTGACAGTATATTATATGCTCCTAGGTAGTAGTTTGGTAACAGCAACCGCCCAGGGAGGTACTACCGTCCTGCCAAGTGAGTGTACAACGAAAACCTGTAACTGTTTTACATGATGGTAGGATTGCTGGTGTCTTTTGTCTGTCTCATAAACATGCAAGATTTCAGGTAAGTCTTGCTACTTCTACTTGCACTTAGGTCACACTACACATACATGTACAAGCATATATATACACACCCCCCTGGGTATTCTTCTATTTTCTTTCTAGTTCTTGTTTATTTCCTCATATCTCCATGGAGAAGTGGAACAGAATTCTTCCTCCGTAAGCCATGCGTGTTGTAAGAGGCAACTAAAATGCCGGGAGCAAGGGGCTAGTAACCCCTTCTCCCGTATAAATTACTAAATTTAAAAGAGAAACTTTCGTTTTTCTTTTTGGGCCACCCTGCCTTGGTGGGATACGGCCGGTGTGTTGAAAGAAGAAAGATATTATATGCTAGACAAATATCAAAACGTCTGTTGGTAAGCATACTATACAGCTGGTTAAACTGCCTAGAGTCAAGTTGTGACTTGGGTGTGGAGGACAGGGGAGAAGGTGTCCTAGCAAGGACCGGGTTGTTCATTCAACACAGAAAAATTCAAGACTTACACCATATATCATCTGAAATAAGTTTGTATTTCCCTATTTCATAGTACAGTGTATAACCAAACTAGTTTCATTTTTTACTTGAAGCTACAGACAGTGCTACCAGGAAAACTAATACAACCAGAATTAAGATTAAAAACTATTCCTGCCAGTGAGTGGCATCCAAGATTTCACAATACAGTATTAGGCAAGCAGCAATGAATTGAGAACTCTTGGGTGAAAAACAAAGTAAAGAAAAAATTTTCCTCTATAAATTACACAGACTGTAGTACTGCCATCTTTATAGCATAACAATCAAGAAGCTTGGTGTGAGGAGAAATGTGAAAAGAGTAGCAAGCTTCAACATCTTGCAGTAAGGGCATCAAAGGTCAAGAGGTTACCATCCTTCGTATTTATCTTAATTGCAAAATAAAGTAACTTACAGCCACACTAAACACCTGCTAGTTTGTGCAGCCACCATTTCCATTCACTTACAGGAAAAAAACAAAATGCTGAATATCTTGACATGAGAAATGTCAAGGATCCCTGGCACCAGCAGCACTGCTAGGAAGTAATAATGCCAAGGCTACCAACCCTCCCAGAGCAAGTTCTAGTAGAAATGAATAAGGCATATCTTGGAATAAAAAAAGGTGTGTGTGTGGGGGGGGACGGGGGTTGTGTGGTCTGACTTAAATGTTCTAACACCACTAGGAAATTTCAACTCAAAAATTGGCGGACACACCTCGCTGCTCGTCCTTAAGCAGGTGACTATGCAGTAGATGCATTCCAGGCCTATGACATGGGTACTAAGCTCAGTTAGGCCATCAACCTTGATTCAGCATAAACTTCAATGTTTTATGAACTGCGCTGATCACACGTACCGAATGTGCATTATGTACAAAATAAAAAACAGATGTGGGACATCGCATAACAGAGAACTCACACAAGTGAACCAACAAAATGAGAAGGAAACTTACTTTGTTTAATTTCTTTCCCTTTTCATTATACAATACCATTAAGAGATGATGCTTTCAAAATCAAGAATGATAGGGGATCATTCCAGTGGGATAAAACAAGTGTATACAAGTTGGAAATGGCAGTTACTGATTAAAAGTCATTCCAGTCCTAGCAAATGTTAAGCCCATAAGAAAAAAAGCGAAACTAGAAAAATAGAAGAGATAAAGCCTTGATGGCCAGTTTGTTAATAAGAAAATAAGGGGCAGATGCCAATACAATGAGGCAGAGGAAAAAGTTAAGAGGTTTAATTAAGGAATTTTGAACCATTGTGAGTCAGAGGAAGTAGAAATATAAGTGGCATAAAGGCATAAAAAAAAAAGTTTCTAAAAATTTAATTCAAGGATAATTGGCATAGCCCAGCTTTAAGCATCACAATGAACACGGCAGTTAGTTTACACTAATTCCCAAACTGATACACTGGTTGGCTATTTGTCTGCCAACCACATAAGACCACAACATTAAAAGAGAAACTGATGATGTGATTAATTCATTCTTGATCAAAAATTTAAAAAAAAAAGTAAAAGTTTCCTCCTCCCTCCTTCCACTTATATATTTTTACCACACTGGCTATTTCCTACCAAGAAAGGATGACAAAAGAAACTTCCATTATCCTTCATTCAATAGTTGTCTTGCCAGAAGGGTGCGACCATAACTAAAAATGACCTAAATTGCAACATCTTTGCTTATCCTTTAAAAGTGCAAACACTATTTTCTGCCTCTAGAACTCTAACCCGGCTAATGAGCGTCAATGAATCCCTTGACAGCTGTTACCTTCCAGACACTTCCAGAGGACATCAAATCCTAAAATCTAGGTTTTCACCAGGACACCTTTCATAACTTAGGCTATATCCCTGATACTCTAATTCACTTATGGGAGTAGGGATCGCCATCTGCCAGTCAATGTACACATTACCCTCCAGAACTTAAACTCAACTATACTAAGATTATGCAAACCTGGTGACTGTCCTGTCACAGGATTGTAGTTTTAAGCATGTTATGACATACCAGTTATAAATATTGGTAATATCAAACCCAGACAGCCATTCAGAACCACAAAGTCTAGGCCAAAGGGGTCTAATCCTAACACCAATATTTTTTCCACACACAGGATGATTGGGGTCAAGATGTATGTGAAAGATTACTTGCGATGTTACACCCACTCTATATATGTGCATGTGTGTTTGCAATGATCAGGATTTTTCTAGTTAACAGGGAGATGAGTAAAGAATTTTAAGCTCAAGTTCAAAGCCTGTACAAGGAATCCTCTCCTAGCATTCACAAGGATTGACAATTTGGTTTTATGATTGACCCATATCAGATATTGAGTTTTCACAGATTGTACCCTGCATGAGTATTCTCAGTGGCCTTCTACATTATTTTGATTGATGATGACATGATTCCTGTTCATGGTTTAAGGGACAAACACACTACAATGCTTGGAAGAATCAAAAACTAATCTCACAATCCAAGATGTCTGCTGCTTACTCATCAGCTAATCTTCACCAAGGTTATATCGAGCGGTGCTGTAGTCCTAAGCAGTGTTTGAAGCATTAGCCCAGGTGCTAATGAACATAGGAGATGTACATTAAACAGTACTTAATAAAAATATGGTTCAAGAGCTAATACAGACATGCTGCTTGTTAGTCCTGCTAGAAGTTCACTGAACTCTCCACAAAGTTTTTAAGTCTTCAAAACATTATGCAGTGTTAGGTAACAGAATCCCAGTACATAATGTACTGAACATACACAAAACAAAAAAATTATGTACTTGAGTGATTGTATAAAGAAGCTTGCTTCTTTTTGCTTCCAAAGTACAATGCATTATACAAAATCTATACACAAGTTTCATTTGTCTTTAGGAGGGTTAGCAAGTCTGAACAACTGAACCTCTTCTCAGATCTCATGATTTCTTGAATACCAACTATGTACATTGGAACCTCTTGTTTGAACATACCGGACCTCGAATGAACCGGAATCCAAAGAATTCCGTTTGGAAAAAATTGACCCGGTCTTTGAAAGTTTTTTTTTCTGGAGTCGAATGCACCGGCTTTTTTATAATTCAGCTGTAAAAGCTTTATACAAAAGACCTGTTTCAAAAGTGCTTTGAGGTGACCTCTGATACTGACCTAACTCGCAGTCAGTTCAACATCCTCTAGTGTGTAAGGCTGGTAATTAAATCCTTGGAAACACTGTTTTGGACATCAAACTTTTTGCAGTTCGAACACCACTTAGGAACCAATTAAATTCAAATTCAAAGGTTCCACTGTATACTAATTTCCATAACAGGAGGTAAGAAAAAATGTTGCAGTCTGGCCACTTATGGCCTCCCCACCTCTTGCAGTAATAAAATAAAACATTTAATAAAAGTACCAGACAACCGATCATTCTAAATTGAGTGCTGTATTACTGATGTTATGATGTATTATAATCTACAGTAATTACAATAAACAACATCCTTAAAGATTCATCTTTTAACCCGTAAATGGTCCAAGCAGATCTACGTTCACATGTGTAGTCCTACAAAAGTAGATCTAATTTTTTTCTTACATATTTTCAAATATAACAACAACAAAAAAATATATCAAAGTTTTTTACACATTTTCAAATGTAGAAAAACAAAAAGAAGATCTACTTTTTTTACATACTTTCAAATGTTGAAAAAACGTATACGTATATACGTTTGGACCGTTTACGGGTTAAAATGTGTATTTTTCCAAAAGCATTATTGCAGTGCATTACCAGTACATACATGCACAAGTACGTATTTATTTTAGGTTACTTACCCTGCGCAGGTTGCTGTGGTGGTGGGTATGGGCCTGGTTGTGGATAGCCCTGTGGTGGGTACTGGTCTGGCGGAGGATAACCTGCTGGAGGATATTGCCCAGGCTGCCCAGGAGGGTATTGACCATACTGTCCTGGTGGAGGGTACTGACCTGGCTGTCCTGGCGGAGGGTATTGGCCAGGTGGAGGATACTGGCCTGGTGGAGGATACTGGCCATATCCTGGCTGTGGATATGGGGCTTGTGGGGCAAACCCAAAATCACCTGGTGCACTCATCCCTGCCTGACACTATTTACTTTTCTGGAAAAAAAAAAATATAGTATTAGCTACATGCTACAGTAAACCCTAAGATGGCTGGTAATGATGACTGGTGGATAGAAGATATTGTTTTGCTATGATCATAAGGTCCTAGTTTAAGAAGAAGGATGCTGTGGTCTACTGTATCAAAAGCTTTTATTAGATTAATAAAGACACCTATTAGATATTCATTGTCTTCTAGGAATAAAGACTGAATGGGTTACTCCCACCCCTCCCAAAACCCAAATCTCTCTTATTCTTTTCTTTGAATGTCAATATTAACCAGATTAGTAAGTTTATTATGGTACAGGTACACAAGTACAATTATCTTGCAGTGTAAATTACCTAGGATAATCACCCCCCCCCCAAAAAAAAAAAAAAAAAAAATCAGTGACATTTCTATTAGGGTCATTGTGATATCTTATTATTTAAACCTGAAGAGCTAAAACAGCTAAGTAACTCAACAGGTCAAGAGACACTGCCTCTGAAACAAGAGTCAAAATCTAAAACAAAATTTGGACTAGTAGTCCTAGAGGGTTAATAACTCACAATAACCCATGAAAGCATTGCAGTTCCCTATTTTTATTGGAGTTCTTAAGGCCTTCTCCAGGATATAACTAACAGTATTAACTGTCTGCTGCAAGGTAACAAGCGCAGCAGGTGTTAAAAGACTTAGCCAAACGTCTCGCCTCGCTCAGGGTTTGACCCTCTGTACTTTTGGTCGTTTACCAAACATTTTACCAACGAGTTACCTGGTTATATTATTTTAATATGAGTGTTTATGCATCACATGAATTTACGATGTTGCATTGTACATTTAATATTACTGGCATATAACTGACATAATATCAATCTAACAAAGGACCCAATGGAAACAATTTTTGACTATTGGGTTACTGTAGGCTAAATATACATAATAAACTTTTATGTGCCTGTAAATTAAATTGATTTATTTTTTTTATTTCTTTGCATAGTATACAATGTGTAATTTACATGTTATAAATTATTGTTAAGTACAAAGAAAGCCACTAACATGCCTGAGCATTTCGGGTTCTCAAGACCATTGTAAAAATAAAAAAATGAATGTTATATACAAGAAACTTAAATAAAACTATAACCAAAATAAGCCATTATAGATGGAGAGGAATGGTATAAAATACTGACATAATTTTAACAAGCATACAAATGCAGAGTAAGTAGATCCTTTTATTGATAATGAAAAAGCCCAGAGTAGACAAAATGTTGCCAGTAAAAGGATTTCATTATACTGAATTTGTGTCTTGTTTCCTAAGCTATTACAAGTTTAAAGTCCTGTTGTCTCAAAAACATCAAACATCCAGCAATATTAGGTTTTTTTTTTTTTTTAACAGTTTACAAAATGCTTTAAAAATACTGTAAGCATCACGTATGCCAACTTTTGGATCATAGAATATATAATTATTATAATCATGGAGAGCGCTAAACCCGTAGGATTATACAGCGCATGGGGGGGGATGCAAAGTATTCAGACTCAATTCACGGAATCTGAGCACAGATCCAATTCCCTAGATCAAGAGCCCCTCACCAGCGTCAAGGACACAGAATAGAAATACTAAGTATTCAAGATCCTAACTGAGCAAATTACAACGTTTTATCACTTTTTGTAATTAAATTATTTTTTGGGGGGAAGGAGGGGGAACAAACAAATTTTGTAATTAAGATATGCTCCTTAATTTTAATCAAATTTCTAAAAATGTTTAATAATAATTTGGTTTTGTCTTGGACAACATTTTGTGCAAATATAAGAAACTTGGATTATTTTATGTTGAACTACGTTAAACTAACTTAACCTTACTCTGCCAGCAGTAAATACGGGGAAATGGTATGGTGATACCGACAAGATGTGGAAAAAGACACTTATGTACAGTTCAGGACATTTATTAAAGGAAACGTTTCGCCACGAGTGGCTTTTTCAGAAGAAGAAGCCACTCGTGACGAAACGTTTCCTTTAATAAATGTCCTGAACTGTACATAAGTGTCTTTTTCCACAGTAAATACGGGACTGGTGAACCTTTGTTTACATTCGATTCGTCTTTGTTTACGTTCACTGTGATTGGTCAAGAATATCATTACTAACCGCTGATTGGCCCTGACGTGCTGCAAGTCCTAAAATAAGTATTTCTGCTAATCTCTATTCCAAATTAATTTCCACAAATAACTTGTACCGGAATATAGAGCAGGTTTTGTGTTTTAATAAAGCGTAATTTTTCAAAATGGCTGGATCATCGTATAAACCAAAAATTCGGGTCAAGAGATAGTATCATCACTAAATCTTCAATTTAAAACTTGTCACATGTTATTTAAGCAAAATTTATATATTGGAACGTCATTATATGTAATCAAAGACATTAAATGTAATAAAAAAAAATGGAAGTATTTTTGGAAAGGAATACTGCAATCTTAGCTGATTTAGTCCAAAAAGACGATGGTACATGGATATACGTATTTAGGTAGATGTGGAGTGAGGTGTAGAGAGAAGTGAAGCCCAGAGCAGCTGGGTGAGAACAAGAGGGCGGTGCCTCTACTCTACTTCCTCCCGGATGCTGCATCATTCTACCCTCTCACCTTTCCTCCGGAAGACTCTCAAAATATTACACACGGTATTATAATTAGTTTCGAAATAGTTACGTGTTTAATATCCTTCCTGGTTACGTTACTGAACTGGAGGCGTAAATAAAGAAGGGTTTAGCGAGAGACATTTTGCTATCGTCTGCGTATGCGCCGTAACACAATATGCCAATGGCGTCACCATCTGTTTTTATTTCTATTTTCTTCTCATTTAACAGCCAGCAACTGTACACACGCCAATAATCTTCAGCATAATTAGGCATGGAGGTCATTTAATTACCAGGGTATATACATCTCGCTGGGTGGTGTTATAAGAGGGTATAAAATGTGAGAATATAGACTAGGTGAGAGTGTTGGGTGCGAGTGCGTACACACAGCGGCGCCAGACTGTCCCACGGTGGTGTAACGAGATCTTAGCGAGAAGACTTAACGAGAATTTTGTGATCTTACAGTTATCCGTCGCTCACGGCACCTGCGAGTGTACCATGATAACTCTTAGCTTCATGTGCCATCGAGTGTATAGTTCATGGTACCGTGCAAGTGTGAAATGGAAGTGAAAAAGAGGAAAGCTCGCTTTTCCGTTCATGAAATCGACGTCCTGGTGGACGAAGTGTACAAGAACAGGGCGACGCTCTTCTCCAGACTCTGCAGTACCATCACTAACGAGAAAAAAATGATTATCTGGCAAGCCATCACGAGAAAGTTAACGAGGTGTGTACCGTTCAGCCCAGAACTGCCGATGAAGTTAGACGAAAATGGTATTTTTTATCTTAGCGACAGAAAGAAAGAAGTTTCCGTAGAAATAAGTTAAAGAAAACGGACTGTCACTCTGAGGTGTTGTACAGCCAGACAGATCTAAGAATTCTTGAACTTTTGGGCGAGATAGATGCCACCGAGAGAACAGTAGAAGGCGCAGTAGAGGGCCTCATCTGTGAGGTAGACGCTGATGCTCTGCCTATAAGACCCTCATCAGTGTCAAGTGACTTTAATGAACAGGACCACAATTTAAAGTCTCGCACCTCCTCAAGGGGGATTCTCTCCCCCTCGCGTCTACAGGATCATTCACTAACTTCCGAAGGTATGTCATACTACTTTATATGAAGATATAGTTTGCCAGTATTTGTGCGCCTGTTACCTATAGTACTTTTAGGATAAATATGGCATGTACTTGTTTAATTCTTAAACATTTTAAACTAAGAGATAACAATAAAATCTAGCAAGGCGCTGGACATTATAATAACAAAGAAGCGCTAAACCTACAAGGGTTATATAGCGCCGCCGGACAGGGAAGGATGCAGGGGTAATGGGTAGCATTACCATTAGGTAATGGAGTGCAGCGGGGCAGTGGATAGTGCAGGGGTAGAGGAAAGGCGCTGGACAGGCACCTAAAGTCAGTACCTGAATAGCCGGGTTGTGGGTCGTACGTCGGGTTGCATGCGGCTAGCAATAACAGCCTGGTTGATCAGGCCCTTATCCACTACGAGGCCTGGTCACGGATCGGGCCACGGGGGCGTTGACCCCCGAAACCCTCCCTAGGTATTATCTCAGGCGGGTTAATAACCCAAGTAAACCAAGCAGTGTGGCTTATCACCCTTGGTGACCTTAGGACCTCTCTTAGGTAGGTAGGTATCTATTGACTGCTAGGTGAGCAGGGGCAGCAAGAGTTAAGTTATTTGACCACACATTTTTTCCTTTCCATCTAATTAAATCTAACCCTGGTCCTTTTGGTTATGAGCTGAACCCTCATACCACAGTGTATATACACATGGTGTATTTCTGCCTAGGTGCTTTAAAGGTAAAGTAAATCATCATATTGGCTTTGTTAGGGTATATTAAAAAAAAAATGTCACTGTCGTGTGCCAAGTGATCAATTGCTCTTCAGGCTACAAGCATGGTATATTCTAAAAATGTTAAAAAAATGAAGGGGGGAGGTTCACCAACATATTACAACTGATATGTGGTTGGCTACATCAAACTATGTGACCTGATGCCAAGATCACTGTCAACGACAGTAGAATTTTTACGGCTTCCCCATATCACTTTTTTCTTCCTTTTTATTTTTAGAAGGTTATAAATGACCATAATTTTTAAAGGGGTGGACCGGTAAGCCAGCGGAAGGCCTCGGTCAGATGACCAAAAGCTCCAAAGGCGGGTCATCATCTGACTAAGACCCGCGTCAGGAAACATTTGTCCTGTTTCCTGACGAACCTTACCTAACCTAACCTACGGCTTCCCTAGTTGTTACGTCCCTTAATTATGTCGGCAAAACCACTGTAAAAATCAATAAAAACATGACAGCATTACAATAAGCTTATTGGCCCATGTTAGGCAGGTCTTGCTCATACCTAACCATTCTCATTCATGAATGGAGACTTACAATATCGTGAAAACAATACTATAAATGAGGGCTTCGCAGTGAGGCCTCCATTATTTTTTAAACCAGGGCAATGTTTAACTAATGTACTGCTTGTGTTGCTACAGAAGAACCTGGTGTGGGAGCAGCAGCCATAGCGACACCAGCGGTGGACACCATAAAAAAAGAAAGGTAACGCAACAGTGTACGATACACCATTTACTATGATCAGAAAGGTCCATGTCTGTGGCATGAATTAGACAGCTTTGTTTTAAAGGAACGCAACAGTGTACGATACACCATTTACTATGATCAGAAAGGTCCATGTCTGTGGCATGAATTAGACAGCTTTGTTTTAAAATTACTACCAGTTTTCCTTCCCACTGTAATTACCTTACTAACTTCTTGGCTAATGTTTCAAGGTTTGTCGTGTTATTTAAGAATCCTTCCTTTCCTCTTGCAGAAATAGTGATTTTAAAATTTATATTTTACGTTATGATAGTTGTTATTAATGTAATTTCTAATGCCTTCCATTTACCCCAGACACCTTAATTGAACACTTACTGTTTCTTCTGATGATATAGGTCAGGGTTTGACCTCTAATCTGGTCAAAATTAGGGATATAGGGAGCTATCAGATTTGGCCAGAGGAAAGGAGGGTAGGTTAAATTTTTTTTAGATTAGAGTTTACTGTCTCATCAACGTTCGTCCTCATCCTTAAGGGATTTTTTTTTTTGCTAAAGATCTCATCTGTCAATTACTTTTATCTTTTTAATTTATTCAGCTGAATAATCTTTCATATAGTCCAGGAGAGCCACTCGTCTGCTCATCCTCGGTAGATCTACAACTTTCCAGCATAATTTCGTCATATCTGTTTTTTATCTACCAGATAAAATGTAATTCGTGTATCTCCAGTTCCCCTCCAGCAGGAAAAGCTCTCGCAATATTTACGAACTATACCTGACCTGCGATCCGTTATGAATATTCATGTTCATGTTTTTCATTTGTCACATCCAGTGGCGTACCTACATTTTGGGGCTCCTTCACAACCACAATTTTTGAAGCAATGGGGTTTAAAGTCGCTTCTGGGCCCCTAACTTAGCTTCTTTATTTTCTAGAGATTCCGCCCCTGGCCACATCTTCCAGTCATTTTCATAAAAGTTTTAAAATTAATGTCTCGCACTACCCCTATTGTACTTCTGTATTCGTAGTTTTCTGAGTGTTCGCCTTCGAACATCCGGGTCCCTTTTTTTTTTTTTCCCCCCTCTCCACCACCCATTGTAGTTTCTTTACCCTCCGCAAATTTGCATGTATTTTTTTTTTTTAATTTTTTTTTTAGTAGGCTCCTTGCTCTCGGAGAAATTAAATAATCATTCTGAAAAACTACCTCCGGGTTTTGGAAAGTGCACCTTTTTAATTAATGTCACGCGAACATAATTGAAAATTTTTTCGTGTCTTTTAGCGTGTGCACAAACCACGACACTTCAGTGTTACACCAACCACGAACTTCACCCACAGTCACCTGGGCACCCAAGGACGACAAAAATTTTACGGCATCCCAGCACAAAGGGGCCGCCCCGGGGAAGGCAATGACATCGACCAGGACGACGACCGCGACGACCAGAATTCCTGCAGCGGGAGAACGACGGTCAACCTGCAAGAGTGCAGCTGCGCCTCCCCACGACATCTACGGGCAATGCAGACAGACTCCGAAGGAACCAGCCCCTTCCAGAGGCTTTTTCCCTCGCTTAAAAGGCAAAACGGGAGCTAGAGAAATCTGCCATTTCCCAAATAGCATTTTGCTCTGTTGCTTAAGCCTTTCAAAAATGCCTACTCTAAATCACCCTTTTTTACCAATAACACTACAGGCACAACAGTGGCATTCGAACCAATATTGTCAAACCCTGGCTAAGAAAATGGAAAAATCCTTATTTCAAATAATTACGAAACAAGGCCAAACAAATCAAGAAAAAATTAAAATGAAAACTGGATGCCATTTAGATTCAGCGGCAGCGTCAAAAAACCCTTTTTAGTTATTGCTACAGTTAAAGGGGCCCCCTTAACACTTTTGATTTCTTTGACTTGCAAAACTGGGGATGTCATTCAGCGCATGGGAGACTATTCTCCGTCCTTAGCCCAACTGGACAGAAAGGGCGGTCTGAAACTACAACTACGCTTCTTAAACATTTCGTCCTCTATATAAAACGGGTTGAATAACCAAGACTCCTCCATCGCTGTTTCCCCTCAACTAGGAAAACACTCCTACAGTCCCTTTTTCTCTGACGGGTAGCACAAGGTCCATGACAATATGCTGCCGACAAGTGAAAAGACCTCACAGAGCAAGCTTTCATTAGGACAATGTTACGCTCCGTGCAGACATTTATCGAATTCTGAAAAAGAACCACAAAGGTAACCGTTGTGCTACTACAAGTTTGTTCTGCAACGTCTGTCCTTCACTCAAGATGCATGTTATTAAACTGATAGTTATCTAGAACATGTTTACTGTAGTTAAGGTCTTAGTCTGCGACCAGCAAACTTGTACATAAATGTAATCAACATGGCTTCCGTTTTTTTTTCCTACAACAATAAAGAAATTTTACCTTTATAATAAATATCACATTTAAAATTAAAGATTTAGTATTTTATCAATAGTTTAAATTCACCTGACAATACCAAATATCACACTAACAATTTCACACAAAACTTCATACTATATAAGTATTTCTTCGATAAAAAAAAAAGAAAGTTACCCCCCCCCCAAAAAAAAAAAAAAAAATCTACGTTTTGAGAAATGTCCAAGTAATCGCTATGGAAGCTAATCCGAAAATGTTCAACGTAG